ATATCGTTACCAAGGGACCGATATCTATAACAATTCATTTGGTATCAATATTGTAACTTAGAAAACTCAATTTTCATTCAGAATATGAACGGTATTGATATTTTTCATACAATATCGATACTATAACCCAGAAATACATTGTTTATCTTGGTGAACACCATAAAACTCCCCTAAACACTTACTTTAAGGTCTAAGTTGACTATTAAAACTTATGAAAGCCATTAGCGGTCATCATACATCATTTTTACACTAAAGTAGCATCCAAAATGTCCATAACAACAAATCAAACACCTAAACTCCCACATACTCTTCCACTTCATACAAGTAAGCAAACTCATATAGATGACATACAAGTAGTAAGGAAGAGTTATAGTGTGTTATCTCAGCTCCTAGCTACCCAAATGCCTCTGTAGATCCTCCAAGAATCAACATTTCCTTGACCATACTCCTTAGGGATTCATGTACTACTCTCAAGCTTCCAAAATGTTTCTAGCACCAAAACAATAACCATAACTAGCTTAACAACCACTATGTTACAAGAACTCCATATAGAAACTATGAGAGAGAGTTATTTGAACTTAAATCCTCCATAAAACCTTCATGAAACTCAAAACCATCATTTTATGGAGATAATGAATTTTCCATAAAGCTCATGAACTTTATGTTAAGAATCTTACCTTCTAATTTTCAGATGGATGAAGGATATGAAGAAAGGTAGAGCCTTGGAGAGAAGAGAAAAAGAAATTAGGTGATAAGAAAAAAGATGAAGGGATGAAGAAGAAAAATAATTCTTTTCTCTTCCTCTACCAAACCCACGCCTAAAGGAGAAAGAATCCCCACGAATCTGCCTCATTTTCATAAATGGCCAAATTATACATTTGGTCCCTCCTCTTTTGCTCACAACTTAACAATCCACTTTTTATTTCAAATAAGTCTAAATTCTTACTCGATTGGACCTAAATTTGAATCGATAAACCTTAATGCTATTTGAAATCTATTAAATAAATTATCGGGTTAACACCCGAATGTTGACTTGAAAATCTAGGTCGGTGTACTACATCTTTTAAGAATTAAAAATATCTCAATCGAGAACCATATGTATCTAGGAGGTTGTACACTTTCAATGATATTGTATTGGAGCTCATCCTATTGTTAGATTGTACCTACTATGTTTCCCAAGTAATGGAAACAGAGGTATGTCTCAACCATGGGGGAATCGAGGCAAGGAATGGTTTGCTCTTGTTAACGAGGCATTTTTGCACTAGAAATTAGAGGTCATATATACGATTTCTATTCATAAAGATCAAGATTTTGGTGGTATTCTGGTTGGAGAAAATGTCTACAAGGGTGCTCAAGAAAGCCATAAATTCTAGAAAGGATTCATAATATGTTGGATAATGACGTTTTGATGTAGGTTTTCATTATGAATGGGTTCAATGAATGACTGATTTAAGGCATTATATGGGAAGTATGATGAAAGACTATTTTGATTGTTCTAGCTTTGGTCGTCAAGATTTTAGGGATCCATTTCTCGATTGATGTTCGAAGATAAAACGTTTTCCACGCTCAATGCACCAATTGTTGATGGGGAAAATTGATCTCATTGGTTATTGGTTGTTCATTCATTCTGATTCGGGAAAATAGTCACGTATAATGAGAGTACGGTTGTTAACCAATGTTTCTCTATAAAAGAGAGTTGGTCATGAGGGTGAGAAAGAAGAATAAGAGTGTGTAGAGGTCAAAGAGGTTCTAACCTTTCTCTTGGTCGTGTCGAGAGGTATTTATAGTGACCTTAGTCTGATGGTGTCAAACATAGGATAATTATGATTATTTGTAGATTAGTAAACTAAATAGATCTAGACGATAGATCTAGAATTTTTGCTGCGGTGGGTCACTTTTACCTATCAGATATCTTGTCTTTGTACTATATTCAACGCGAGGGCATGGGTCCAAAGGATATAGATTTCTTGATAGCTCCGATAAACAGAGAGGTTTGTTTGAATACCTTAATTAATAGAGAGCTAACAACTTTAGTAAGTCATGTCTAGTGGAGATTTGATACTTTCCGCAGGTCGTAAATGGAGATATAACATATTTAAAATAGGATGATTATCGGAACAAAATTAACAACATTGGATATTAAAATATAAATTATCTTTGTCCTAACAAAGCACAATAAGTATACTTTGCTTTGACAAATTTAAATATGTCTAATGAAATTTTTACACGAACTTTTTTTTAAAAATATTTTAATTATTTTAATATATTTTATAATTATTTTTATATAAATTTTCATATATTTTCTTATTTTTATAAAATTTTCAATTTTCAATAATCTAGACATATTTCATATATTATTCTACATTTATAATATTTTATCATTTTTAAAATATTTTGTATGTTTAAATGTTTTTTATTTTTAAATTTTGCAAAGGACAAAATAATTAATGTCGATATTGAAATATATATATGTGTGTGTGTTACGTTAGCTTAACGATTTCATTATTTTTTATCATTCAATCAATTAAATCAATTTGATAAAAAAATAAAATGAAGTGATAAATTATTAAACATTTAAGGATTAAAATGATGTTTTATATATAAATTTAAGGAGATTGAAGGCATTGAGAAAGAATCCGCTTCAACATGAATAAACAAAAATGGGTTTAAAGGCACTGGTTATCATTATGAACAGGAAATTCGATTATCTTACTAAACCCGAATATTTTGATAATAAACAAAACTTGGATTTATGAAAATAAGAGCATTGTTGTTTATTTTTAAGCCATTGACCAACTGTTGACCCCTTTACGTCCAATAGCAAAATATCATATTTGAGAATAGAGACAGACAGTAGCTTTAAGATATATTTTTAACATACTACTTTATAATTAATTTTAGAACAAAAATATCATATTTAAAAATTGAGTGGCATCACTTGTTAAAGGAGTGTTGTTCTCACTTGAGGTTCAAGGTTCGAGATTATAAAAAGATTATGAACATATAATATCTTACCATTATCACATTTTATTAAAAAAAAATTAAACCTTTAATCAAGTAAATAACATATAATATTTTTATAGGTTTTCATAGTTTTTGAAAAATTATGAATTTAATCATAATCGTACTTAAAGGAAAGGGAAATGAGTCTTTAGGAGAAGGGAGGACAGTGCTCCTAGTGTGAGTTAAGAATCCATAACCTAAAGGAATATGAGAAAATAAATATGAGCAACTTAACTAACCAACCAAATATGCTTGCTCTTAGAGGTTTTCTTATTAAAGAAAGAAAACGTTTTAAAAATTTATTATTGTACAATAAGAAAATATATATTATGCGATACGTTGTAAGGAAAAGAAAAAATCGTCATATTCAGAGATGAACCAACGGGATGTTGGAGAGTACTCGTATCGTCTATAACTTTTAAATTTTCATCTAGTTTAAATATTTTTGTATTTTTATTGACATAATTTCACACACCTAAAGTTCAATAATTTCATATAAAAAATTTAAATATAATTTTTAAAAACTATGCACCTTATCATAAAACCCTGGGTCCATACATGATAACATCTAAATACTACTAACAAGGGGAGAGAGATTACTAGTTATTTCTCTTTGGTTTCAATTGGGAAATATGCTTACTTAAGGCTGTTTTAGTTCTTGAAAAACTAAGCACAACAGTTATATGTTGTTATTGTAATCAGTACCCATACCAGCAATGGAATCCTAGTAGATAGCCACTAAGCCACAAAACAATATTGTTTCAAGCTGAGTAGAACCTACTTGAAGACAACTACATCTATTATTTGCAATATATCTCTTAATATCAGTTGATGTTTCATTTCGTAAGATTTGTGTTTCCATTTGGCGGCTGTTTAGGTGTGTTTACCTGGCATTTATGACCTCTTTTTTCTTCGATAGGTTTCGCTTAGTTGATTGTTATCATCAAAGAATAAGTTTCTAACAAATGAGTCTAGAATAGTATCTTCCGATGGGAAAATTTTCAAACATCCAACATCCATCGAGAGTTTTGAAATAAAGATTAAGATTTATATTACCAAAAATCATCATTTTCTAGTCATATCCGTATAACCCGTCAAACTAGAGGTAATCATTATAACCTTACGACTAATAGATGCATTAATGAGTCTTTATATAATCTTTCGACTATAATTGAGAGATGAAATGAGAATTCTAAGAAATCATCTCACCTGTATTCTTCTTTGTTCTAATTCATTATGAAAATAAAATATTTTGACACTGATAACGATGGATGCACTATAACTCTCGTCCGAACCAAAAGTGGGAACCGCGAATATCCCCACAATCTATGTCTCATCAACAAGTATGCAAAATATTGATTACTGTTAAAGGAGCAGTTTAGTAGTACTTGATAATCATGAAGATTTACTCATGTTTCGGTTTATTTCAACGGATTTGAAAGAGAAGAATGCGATTCAATAATAAATAAAATAAAAGGGGTCTGAAAATCAAGAAATAGTAAGCTTTGGATTACAATATCAATGCAAAAATTGATGCTATATTATGACAGAAAACAAGAAGGATCCTCAGCGATAAAACCCCTTTGTTTCTTAATTATTATATTTTCTCCGGAAAACATTGCAAAAGAAATTACAAAATCCCATGTTACCAAATCCTACAAGATTTACTTTCCAACCCTTTTTTAAGTTTCAAGTACTTTGTTTAAGTCCTAAGTTTCAAGCACTTTGTTATGTCTGTTGGGTCTGAAATGAAAGATTTGAAAAGATGAAAGGACAAAAATTAAAGCAAAAGGGAAACCCTAATTGATCTGTTAGTAACACTGAAAATTCAGTGACTCGTCGTATTATCCAACAGAAGTTAATACTTAATACATCATATCAAACCATGAACAAGAAAGGACTATTTCCAGAAATCATAGCTTCCAGAAATCCCAAAAGTCATTAGAGAAAAAGATTAACAAAAAGATCTAAAACAAAGATTGAAAAAAACCCTAAAATTAACATAAGAGAAAGTGTATGAAGAAGAAGATGATAAATAGTCCATGAAATTTGCTGACCTTTATGAAAACTGCTGCAAATAGAGCTTGAATTTACCATTGAAAATCTCTCAAAACGTAGGCCTATTAGCACCTGAGTTTCCAGGCCATCCTTCAACCGGTAACTGGACATTAGGGGGCATATTTAGAGGCAAATTAAAGAAAGGCAACCCACCTGGGGCAGCTCCTGCATCAGCAGACATGTTATTTCCACCATCGCCTCCGCCGCCGCTTCCGCCGCTGCCGGTTTGCATCTGCAGCTGGTCATCCTCTTCCAAAGGTAGCCTCTCGTAGGCCACATTTGTAAACGATGAAGCTATAACAATAACAGGTCCCGCCGCCATCAGCTCACCAATCACACTCCCTCCTACTACCTGACCTTGTCCACCGGCCAAAAAGATTGTCAAACTGCTGGCGCCTGGCGGAGCCGGCGGCGGCAGGAAAGAACCCGAGAGTGACAGAATCTCAAATCTGCCTTGGAGGTTAACCACAGCTCCAGCTGCCGATGGTTGTCTAATAGTCACGTTGGTCACCGTACCACTGCCACTCAATATACAGATACCTCTCTGCCTTTTCTGAGCGTAGTTGGCGATACAGTCGAACACATCGCAGCCGTTCCCAATCTCAAGAATGTGAGCTCGGAGCGTGTTGGCACTCTCCCTTGTTATGATAACCGGTGGCTTAGGCTTGTTCTTCGAGCCCGGAGGACGTCCCCTTGGCCTACGAGCCACAAGGTCATCACCTTGCCCCGAGTTGGCAGCGTTGACCAGGTCTAGACCCTGGTGAGTTGACTCATCGTCTCGGTGATGATCGGCCGATCCATACTGTGCACCACCACCAACGCGGTTGTTCGAAGCTTCATGGTCTTCGGTTTCAGGTCGGTGTTGGAGATGAAGGTTGGGTCTGTGAAGCTGATGATGAACGTCGAAAAGACCGGCCATGCCAGCACCAAAATAAGGAAAAACAAAGGATTAAAAAATTAGTATTTAAAAAACAAGGGTTAATAGTATATAATTTATGGATTAATTTAGATTTAAAACTGTCTAAGATGGGGTTTGTTTAAGTGGGAAGAAAAATTATAAAGAAGAGGAAAAAGAAAGGAAAGGCAAGCGATTATCCGAGACTCGATGAAAGAAAATGATTTGTATAGCTAAGAGAAGAAAGGGTTTTCCATTTTTTTTAAAGGAATTAACTAAAAACAAAGAAGAAGGAGCGCAGGCAAAGGAAAGGGAGGGGAAGCACAAGGAACGGAGGAAGACAAATTTTATAAAAACGCAATGATTTCTTATTTCTAATAAATACTATATACCATGAAATTCGTTGAGAAATATCTTGGCATAATGACACATTTACTGCCCAATGTTTGCATAAATATTCCTTTTTGCTCTTATTCTATTTTTTAGATCACTTTACCTAAGACTTGTTGGAAGGAAACTTGACTAACTTTTCACACATATTCTTGACGTTTAATTTTTCACATATAGTCAATTGTTGATATGACATGTGTCATGTCATTATTTTTGGTAACGTGTCACATGTCACGTTATTGCTTTCGATGACATGATACATCATTATTTTAAGTGATATGATACATGTCACGTCATTAATTGATTCGATGTGAATATGTCATGTCAGTAACATGTGTTGGTTGTTAGTCAACTAACGATTTTCATTCAACAGAGATTATTTTTGACTAAAAATTAAAACGTTGGGAGATAAAATTATAAAAAAAAAAAAACAAGAATATGAGGTATAGTGACATTTTATGCAAACGTTGGGGAGACAATTGTGTTGTTATGCCAAAAATTTTTGCGTAAACTACTTGAATAGTCAGTTAATTATAGGGTAAGTTTTATTTAGACCATTGATTTATTGATTTTATCAATTATATCACATAAATATTTAAATCGTATCAATTAATTCACCTCCTATTAACAGTTATTCGATCTCTATATCTGGATGTTCAATATTTTTAAAGCATTGTAGAAGCATTGCAATATCTTACAAATAATCGTCCGAACATCTCATTCAGTGTAAACAAAATTGCACAATATATGCATTCATCTCGCAATAGTCATTGGATTACACTCAAACATATCCTAATATATTTGAAAGATATGTTAGATTATGGATTAATATATATATTCCTAATACAACTATGAACGTTAGTACATATTGTGATATTGATTAGGATAAGGATTCTGATGATAATTGATTAATATTTGGATTCAAAAGTTTTCTTAGGTTAAATATTAATTCTTGGAGTTTTTAGAAATAAAAAGCTGTCCCTTGATCCGCAATAAGAGTTGGTTATCATAGCTTGGTTGATGTTATGTTTCAAATAGTATGGTTAGATTTATGTTGGATGATTTTCAAAATGTTTTCAATGAAGTTCTCAACATTTGGTGCGATGACACAAGTATAATTGCAGTGGTTGTCAATACGATTTATCATACCAAAACTAAACATGTAGAATTTAATTTTCGTTGTGTTCAGGATAAGGTTCTTGGTAAATAAATTATTGTTATTTCTTGATATTTCGAGTTCGAGCACCAAGATATCAGGAATGTGAATATTCAATGTCAAATGATCAATTTTTAAATAAATATTATCTTGTACTTCAATTTACGAACCCGTTGACCAAGACTTTTTAGTTAGCACTTTCTCAACATTTTGCCAAAACTAAAGAGTCCGTAGAAGAAAAAAACACAATTTCTATTTTTCAAGAAAAAGTCAACTAGATGGATGAATATTAGATAAATATAAAATTGCGTAGAAAACTATATATGTCATCTTACTATTCTTCATTGTTCTTAGTATATTTATCAGTTGCAGTCAATTGTTTCTTGACTAGAGAACTAATTAAAATACATTCTTCTTCTTCAACGCATTTATCTCAATATTTGTCAGTGTATTCGTTTCTTTTTTTACTATTTATTAAATTTTGAGAATTATTTAAAATTTAAAATTTGTATAATTGTGTAACTATAATTTGTATTATCAAACATGACATGTGATATTGTAATTACACTTTAACAATTAAATATATCTAAAAAGGTAAAATTTTCTATAAATACACTCTCATGTAATTACTACAATAACATTTACATTTGCATATAATTGTGTAAATTTTTTTATTTTAAAGAGACATTAAAAAAATTAAAAAAAAATCGCCTCAACAAAACCCTGTATGTTTCTCAATTCATAGCAATAATCTTACCTATAGATAAAGAAATCCATCAATAAGAATCTTAAGACAAAACAGAGCTCTTAATGATCAAGAACTTGGGTAGTGTTTTGTGAGAACATATAAATGAAGATAGATTTTGGATTTTTTAACAGATGGAAGGTGGAATTCACACGCCTTAAAGGGGGAGTAGGAGTTATTTCTTATGTTGTTGTGATCCAATGAAAGTAATAGAATTTTAGCAAATGAACCCTGAGAGGAGGGATTGGATTGAAATTTGTGGGTAGGGTTAGCTGATTTAGATGTTAACGTTGGTCATCGCTCATTGGAGTTTGGACTTAACCACCACAAGTTGCCCAAGTTTGGTTAGTTTATGAACAATGAACTTAATCTTAATAAAAGTCGGATTTTTTAACAGTTTTAAATTTTATACATAATTTTATTATTTATTTATTTTAAAAAATATAATAGATAACATTAAATATGCATATTAGCTCTATCATTTCTATGAAATAATGAGTAGAAAATTAAAAAAAAACAAATTAAAGTAAATAATAAAAAATATGATTTTAAAAGATGTAGAAGACATAACTATCACATAATCATAATAAAATATGTTACTCATTCAAATTTCAAAATGTATTCACGAGTGATATTGTACTAAACATGCTAAAATTAAATATAAGATGAAACAACTCTAATTATAAATATACTATTGCTTAATTACTTACCTTTAAAAATTGACACTTAATTGAATTTGGACCACTTAGTAGATCTGTAACAATCATAATATAAGGGGATAACTTTTGTTGTAGGATTGATGGTTCTATCGCAATATTTTATGATGGGAGAATAAGACTTTACAACTTATTATATTACTTATTGAGAAAGAGGAAATCTCTATAATTTTTAGGGTAAACTACATATTTTATATTTTTTTAAAATCATACCTAATATTTCATTTAAGTTTTATTTTGGTACCTCGTCATTAAAATCTTAATAGTGTTGTTGAAATGTTATCATTGAAAAAAATGACATATAAAGAGTTTTGTTAATTTTTTAAATGACATGTACCAAATTAAAACTTAAACTAACATGTATGCTTTTGAAAAAAAATAAACTTTAGTACCAAAACAGAATAAAATAATAATTTAAATACTAAACTTATAATTTATTCAAATTTTTAATAATTTTTATACTAATATAAAAAGAAAAATTATAAAGGGCTAAGGACTTTTGGGCCCCAATGGCCCCCCGCCCCTAGATGAGAGTGACAAAAAAGCAAAAACAATTGGAGAAATTGGGGGGCAAGTAGCCAAAGGAGAAGCGGCGCGTAGGATACCACCTTTTTATCTGCGCCACCACCCGTGGATAGGGACGGGCATAAGACCTTACGAGTTTTGACCTGATCTGATCTGATCTGGTTAATTTTTAAAATAAATTCGGGTCGGAGTTTTTTTAATGTGATGTTCGGGTTAGGTTTAGGGTGAAAAATACCCGATTTAATCTGACCCAAAAAATATATAATTTTACCTTATATATTTAAGAATAATTATAATAATAATCCTCTATATATTATTTTTTTCAATTAAGTCACAATTTTTATTGAATAAAAATATTTTTTTTTCGGGTCAGGTCGTTTTTTTAATTTATATATCCGGTCGGGTGAAAACTTGTTTTGGTCAGGTCGAGTCTCGGGTGGAGGACTCCTTGTTCTCAGGTCGGGTTGAGTAAATCAAAAACCCGACCCATGCCCATCCCTACCCGTGGATGCAGCTTGTTTCTAAACTAGATACGCGTTCATCTTGAAATTTGAATTTTTTAATTAATTAATTAATTATTAATTATATTTATCTTAAATTTTATTGTATTCATTTGGCATAAAAATTTATATTGTTAACATATATGTATTCATTATAAAAATATTTCTATATACGTGAGTATCCTGAAATGCCTTCCTCTCTCCTCCTTTTGCTTCACCCTGGATTGTATATCAGATACTTGAATTACTTGCAGAAAATGCTATATATAATATATTCTATGAAGTGCTATAGTGTGCATATATATAGTTAATTTGTTCCTCAAAAGGAAACATCAGTTACGTTCTTTTTTAGACATATTTTCTAACAAGTTAGGCTATACAATATGTATTTTAATTTCAATTTCAGGATGAGGACAGAAGTTGAGTGAGTCCCGTTTGAATAACTTTTTAAGAATAATATTTTTTTGAAGAGGATAATAATTTTTTAAGAATTTCTTAATCTTCCATTTGAAGCCATATATTATGACCGATAAAATAAAAAAGATTGACTCTTATTTAATATAACTAATTGATTAAGGTTAAATATAGAGACTTAAGATTATGGTAGTCGAGTAGTGCGGGTCACATCCATAGGGTGTATCATCTCTATCTTCTTTTAATGCATTTGTAGTAATTTTCATGACTTCTACTTTTTACACGTTTCTGTCATTGGAATTTATGAAGGCTTAGAACTAGGGTAGCGGAGTACTGTTGCCTTAGTTTAGGTTTTATCCCATTTAACTTTATTCCTTCTCGTAGCTTGTTATTCGTTGACTACTGTGTATCCTTCTTTCATGTTTCCTCTTTTAAATTTTGTCCGGTCTTACGTTTCTGTCTATATACAGAGATTTTTACGCAGGGATTACTTCCTATTACAAACGCGCATATGAAAAATGTTCAACTGTATTTATTTATTTATTTATTTATTTATACATGTATTATATTTTATCTTTATTTTTAATTTTCTAACTGCCGGAGGTCTTCCACGGAAGCTTCTCTCTACCTGGCGTTGGGGGCAGCCTACTACCCTACCTCCCTCTTACCCCATTACATATGGGAATAGGGTTTTGTTGTTGTTGTTGTTGTATTAAGGTTAAATATTTATTAATTTATGTCCTCTTAGGTATTCGCAATAAGCTAATGCTCAACAGCCCTGGAAAATGAAAGCCTAACCAGTTGCTTACAGTTAGATTTATTTCTAAGAAATTACGGGTGTATAATAAACATGGCCAAGATTAATCTTTTCTTGTCTTCTTTCATTTAAAATTAAA